ACTATTGCTTTATGTTCTGTAGATCTTCTAGATCTTCCAACTTCCAGAACAAGACAAAATCTGTCATCTGCAGAAATACTTGGAGGACTCTGCAGTTGTTGGGCTCATTAGAGATGGACAAGAAGCTGAGTACAGGGGTTGGTGAACAACTTTTTGGCATGGTGTGGAAAAAAACATCTGATTCTGGATGTGAATAGCAATATCAGGGCAAAAGACCTAAAGAAGCTCAACAAGCTGATGCAAAAGGTTGACCCTGTACTGGGAATTCCTCTTGAGTCACAGAGAAAAATTCTTCATAAAATAATATTATAGACATTGCAGAAGATTGTTGAGTAAAAACTGACTTTCTTCAGTCAAAAGGTTTCTCTAGATCTGCTGAAAGACAGATGGTTACAGGAGAACCTTCCCACTAAAAGCTGTTAATAATTATGCACGTTGTCTAAATTAAAAATTTATTTCCCTTTAGGATCAATGAAATTATTCTGAAGTGAATTTACCCATACTTAATTATGAGATTTTATTTCTAACTCTTTTAAGGCCATCTTCTTAAGAATACTGGCATCACTAACAGCATTTTGGTACAGAACTGGACAGCCACATTTAATTGTCTGTGCTTAAAATAAATCACAGATAATTGTTAATTATTTGCAAAGGTGGGTAGTAAATAGTTACATTTACTGAGGTAGAGCTACTAATTTAGGGCTTGAACCTGCTCTGACTAACAACATTTTTGAATTCCTCTTCTACACGGGAAAATGAAATGCACTAAATCTTCTTTGTTAAAAATTTTCAAGGGTCAACAGTGCAATAACTTTATTATTGTTAGTACTCTAACCCTTTAACGGCCTTGTCAACCTCCAACCTGCATTTTGCCGAGCAAAAGGTTAACCGTTTGGTTGACCAGTCATTTGAAGGGGTGTTAGAATGATTCTATAGGGTAGTTGGTGCTGGTCCTTAAGGTCTCTGAATAGGGTGTGTAACATTGGTTGCACTGAAAATGGCATATTTACTGTTCTATGAGCCCTAACTCAAGCCTGGTTAAAAGACCTAGAATGAAACGACAGGTTTTCTTCCTTTTATGGTATGCTCATGAATATTTAGATGAGCTGTGCGCTGATTGGTTGGTTTACAACAAAGCTGTTGAGCAAAGACACATCATAGCAACAAGCACTCACTCACTGAAACATCAAAATCTTTAATATGGTATGGTGACCAGACTTCCTCTTTTTCCTGGACATGTCCTACTTTTAATACCTAAAAAAATGTCCAGGGGAATTACAAAATTGTCCGGGATCAACTACAGTGCAGCACCACCAATCATGAGATTTGCAGCGGAAGAAGGCGTCAATGGGGTTTGAACTTCTCTGTACGTCCATTTTACCCACTGAACTATCGTTATTCATCTATGACAATCTAAACTCGGTTTTGCATTCTATTAACCCTTTAAAGGGTTTATTTTCCTTGTATGCACCTGAACCAAAAGACAAAGTTTAATGTTTATATGTGAAAGTCATTATGAGGAATCCTGTTGTTCAACCTCTACACTCACCTGATCTATAATAGGGTGCAGGAACAGCCATCTGCACAACAACCTCTAATCCTTTTGCCTCAGTATTTGGTGGAGTCACAAGGTAAATCAGTCCTCCCCACAAGTTCCAGACCTGCGTCATTTTAGAGGTGACAGGAAAGCGTACATGGGCGTTTGGAGGTCTCTTCAACACTGCAGCTTTCAGTCGATCTGTTTGACAACCGATCTGAATCTGTGGGGAGAATCAAGCAGAGGTTAAAGCTTTGTATGTATCTTTAAAGCTTCTTTTGGGGCTGAATTATTACTCTGAAGACAAAAAAGCAACAGTCTAATTTAAGTGAATGTCTGATTAAAATCCTGTTAAATTTAGTAATATTCCTAATTCCATAAAATCATTATATGGGTACTTGTGGAAGTGCTGCAGGCAATGGTGCCATTACATTAGAAAGAGAGAGAGTAAAAAAGAAAGAAGTTTAGCTATTTGCCTGTAGGAAAGCACTTTAAGGTTCTATAAAATTAGTTTCTCCAAAATTGTTAACTCCAGATAATGGCCCTCCCCATTCCCACCCAGCTATTCTTTAAAAAGAAAATTATCACAATAATATCTGTAATACAATGATTTGCTAAAAATCTTTTACTATATTCATCATATTTTTAATTTTTACAGGAAAACCAAGATAAAAGATGACAAATACAGAATTTATGCTCTTTTCAGCACTAGTTTAGAGGGCATAAGGGGTGTGTCTCTGCAAGTCATCTAGTAGTCGCCTGTCTAATTAGAGATACATAACAACAAAAGTTGTTTGTATGAATGTCTGTATACATGACTTAGATTTAGACAACATTTGTTGTCATTTTGTATACACAGAGTTTATACAAAACGAAACTTCGCTTTGTACAGTATTTCCATTCCTTAAAGAGCAGCAGTGATCAAATCTAAACGGGGAGGGGGGGAAAAAACATGGTGGAACAAACCATTAATGTTATGCAGTACAATAAGGGGTTTCATAGCAGTCATTTTTCCCCCAGGCTGGTCTTGTTAGGAATCCAGTTAGTGTGGGTTGTGTTTTTCTCTCCCTCCACCACCAGGTGGTGTACTGTTTTAGTTGGTCCTCCCACACACCTGCGGCTGGTTGTTTCATTACTGAGGACTATTTGAGCAGTGGACTGTCATTCCCTCAACACCAGAGTGTTTGCCTGTGTTGGGTACTCTAGCCAAGCTGAGATTAGCTTAGTCTAAGTGAGTCTTTGTTTCACTGAGGCTAACTGTGTTTTTGTTTTTGTCTTTGCCTTTCGGAAGGAAGTCATCCTGCAAGCTGGATGTTTTGGCCTTCTCCCTCTGGAAGGATTGTTTGTGTCTCACACTGAGCAGGGGATTTACCTCCACAAGTTCCGTTCAAGACCTCCTGGATTTTGGAGTGACAGTCCGCTCTATAGCTCCTCAGAACCTAACAGAGTCTAGACCTATCCGCCCTCCAACGAGCAACTTCCTCTGGATAAACCCACACGGACTGGATTCTGGGAAGAAAAGTTTTTCTCCACTAACGTGCGTCCAGTTTTCCATGTTTCTCCAAGTCATCTTACAAAGTTCCCACGGAACCTGAACTAACAGCTGATTCTTCCCTTCCCTCCTCCAGTTCCCGTTCACCAGTACACTGAGTTTCCTGAATCCAACCCCCATTACCCTCCTCAATAAACATGTTAAACTTTTACCCTGGTTCTCCGAGTGGTTTACTGCATGTGGGTCAGATCTCTAAAGAAAATCATGACAGGTCTTGATTATTTCTTCTGAGGCTTTTCTCTTTACCTCATATGCATGAAAGAGTGATTCGTTTAGGCCATTTTGGAAACCTATGGTGAGAGGATTAAAGGAATGGCTAAAACCACAGCAAATGGATACTAAAACACTCAAGGTCCCCATTTCCAGCAAGCATATGCACATTGCGTTAAACAAGTTCAACACAAAGATTGGCATGTAGGACAACCACTAGATGAGACGATCACTAGGAAATCGGAGCCAAAAGAATATTGTTTGATGGGCTGGATTTTTTAAAATATGCATGTATATTTATTAGCAAGGGCTTTAGGAAATTTTGTTTGATTTATTTTGGAAATATGGATGTCGTGCTCATTACCCGTTACCTGTTAGTTTACCCTGAACTGGTTCTGGCACCCAACTGTTTTTGGCCAACTCTCAGTGCACAGTGTTCCCTGTCTGCCCACTCTCATGAAAATTGCTTTTCTCTTATGCCTTTAGAAGAGATGTTAAATAATCAAAACAACTGACATTATTATTGGATAATGTGTGAAGTACCTGCCACCCTTTGTTGATGATTTCTGCTGGTATGGCCACATATGTCTTCATACCAGGAGAGAGGTAGAGACCCGTGCTGATCCACTCCTCCCCCCCTGATAAGCATAGCATAGATGTATATGTATATTGAATATATTTGTATACATACACACATAAAGTTATTGCATTGTTTGTTAAAAAAAAAAAAAAAAGACCTGCTGTTTTGACGTCCATCTGGACCCTGTGGTTGTAGACAACTGGTAAGAGTGGATTATCCTTGATGAGGTAAGGCAGGAGGGCGTCTGGATCTGGGCAGACTTTATAAACCTCTGTCCCAATATTGAGAAGTAGGTGGTCTTCAGGGCTTTTGACGGGGCATTTCTCACTCACCTTGGCAGAAAGAAATAAATAAAAGTTTGAATTGCTTGTTACCACTGACCAAATATGCTCTGTAAAAACTGTGACATCATGATACAAGTTTGAAATCAACCACCTTGGCTCATTTGTTAGCTTTTTCAGGCAAACATTCTAAAGTGTGTACCTGTATTTCTTACCTGCGGCATGCCAGACTTTTTTAAGATGTCCGTGAGTGTTGCCACCACCTGAGAGTAGTGGCAGCAGTCATAAGCCTTCATGTTCAAGTAGACGGAGCAATCGCTGCCCAGCTTTTTGAGAAGCTCCTCCTCATTTTTGCTGAGTTTTTCCTTCACGGTTACGTGTTTAGCAAAGCGGTGGAGAAGGTGCCGGAAATGGTAAGTATCTTTGATGGCCTGGGTGGGATCAGGAACCTTGTGTGAACCTGCATTAATAGTCGACTTCAACAGGCTCAGCCCCATTTGGCTCAGGATTTTGTTCCCTGAAAGACATTCGATTGTTCAAAAAAACTACGACCAACAAAAACATAACCTCACTATGGGGGGAGCCCCCTCATAATCACACTTTAGTTCACAATCTTATTTATCGCTAATAAAGTTTATATATTTGTAAGCTTGCGAAAACCTGATTTAGAACATTTTGCACGGTGCCTTCTATTAAGGAGTTTGTATTGTATTGGCTTGCATATACTATACAAGGTCATTGAATATTTCTAAATTCTACAGTTTTAATTCTATAATCTGTGCAAATTTCACTCCGACAGTTAAGATCTGTCCCGTTTACTGATAGTAAGTTAGAATGTGCTTTTTTTAGGTTTATGTGAAATCCTGAGTAACTTTGAGTGCTAATACCTCCAAAATCTGTCAATGGATTTTTGTCCTTGTGCTTCTGTGCCCAATACCAGACATGTCCAGCAATCAGAAGACCTCCTCCTTCTGCCACAAAGTTCTGGATCTCTTCCCAGTGCCCTTTGGGGTTCGATGAGGACACAAACACACTCAGGTCTTTCTTGAATTCAGTTTTTACCATTTTCAGACCTGAGTCATTAGCTATCTTAATGCCATCTTTCACTGCTACGCCAACAACGCCTCTGCGGCCTTCATCCAGCCAGTGAAGAGCATTCTTCCAAAATGAAGCATTTTCCTGGATTTTGGTCAAGTGGAGGAAAAGAAAGGGAGAAATTAATTATTTTTTTTATAAATTTTTAAAACTTTAAACACAATTGTATTGTTTCTATACCTTAGGTCTCAGAACACCTTCGTGTCCAGTTACGATGACCCGACCTTTACCATAGTAGGCTCCAGCCAGGAAGGCCTGTCCACCCCCTGTGGTACCAATGGGGAACGCTAATGAGCCATGGACCAGAACCTCGGAAGATACGGTACCCTTTGGGATAGTGAGCTCTGAAACACCGTGGAGTAAGAACTGCAAGTCGTCCTCAAAATCCTTCCCTATTCTGTATTTGGAAAGGGAAACAAGTGATGAAGAATAATTAAAAATGACTCACCGGATCAGATGTTATACATTATTAAATTCAGAAAGGTGGCAGCAGTGAAAAAAAACTATTCATTCTAAATGTTTGTTAAATACTGTATATTACAGATTAATAAGTGATGGACAACTAAATAACATTTTTTAATTTTGGAGTTGGGAGACTTAAAAAAAAGATTTGGCTGATTTCATGACTAATATTTTCAAAATATTAATTTTGATTTAGTTTATATAGCGTCAAATCATAACACATGTCATCTCAAAGCACCTGACAGAGATACCATATTCAAACTGGCTAAAAGTTTCTGTCAGGGGAAACCAGTTTATTGCACTATTCAATGACTTGCAAGACACACTACTCCTGAATTAGCTTGTGGTGAGAATTTTTGCTTGCATTTTTTTCAATGACTCTTCCCTTATACCAGTCAGGCATGCAGTAACAGGTGAAAAACTCCCTTTAACAGGAAGAAACCTTCAGCAGAACCAGGGTCAGTGTGAAAGGAGTTCTGCAGTGGTCAACTGTGATTCAATGGAATAGAAGCAGACAAAAAAGAAGAAGCAGAGATAAAAAAAGGCAACTTTCAACTAGATGTACAGGGGGCCCCACCCAGGAAAGACACGGCCAGGCAGACGAGTTCCCAGCCAGAATCCATGTCAACGGATGAAAGAGGGCATATGCGGTTAGTCACCGTAAAATAAACAGGACTACACCAAAACAACAGCCGTAGCTCCAGCATGAATGGAATTACACTCAAACAAGATCAGACCAGATAAAGCTATTATGAAAAGAAAGAGCACAGAGTGTATAAAGTTAGAGGCTAAAATAACAAGAACATAAAGTTATGGGTGGAACTTAACAAATGCGACAGAACAGGATAATAAAGATAGAGGGAAGCAGAATGATGAAAAGTGCTCCGTATGTCCTCCAGCAGCCAAAACATAAATCAACATAACTATAGAAAATAGGTCAGGATAACCTAACTATTTTGGATAAGTAAAGCCAATATATGTTAAATGTCTACACTTCCACAATGATGAAAAAATATATTAAAAAATCAGTTCCTCTTTCATACCTTCTGTGCAACCTAAATGATAAAAAATAAGCGTAGTTTAAATAAAGAACAAAATAGAAGAAGGAAGTAGAGTATATGCTCACGTTACAGCCATCCAGGAGGCTGGGATCTGTGGGTAGACTGGGAGGTGTTCAACTTCACCCGGATTCTTGGAAAAGTAAATCCCTGCAACTCCTGACACCTTGTTTCCATCAAAGTGATGTAATGTATCCTCCTTAGGGTGATCTGCAGCCCAGCTCCATGCCTGACCTGCTATCAGCACCCCTCCTCCTGCTTTCAGAAAGGCCACCAAGTCTTTTGGGTCAGCACCAACGTTGTATACGTCAGTCACGTAAACACCAGACTGCAGATTCCTGCTAAAGCTGCCAACCACTTCTACTTGGAAGGTTGACTTGCTGAGGTTATCGCTAAGCGCCTTTACATTTTTATGCACAGCTACAGTGGGGTTGCTTGACCCGTCGCCCCTCAGCCAGATCAGGGCGTTCTCCACCAGAGCAGGAAAGGCTGTCAGGTAGGCCTCATGACCCAGAGCAACAATCCTTCCACAACCATACAGAGAGGCAGCCATCAGGACCTGACCTTTACTGTTCATGGCTAAAGGAAAGGCATGGTCTCCAATCAGCAACAGGTCGCTGGGAACGTAGGGGCCACGGAAGTCCAGCTCTTTCAAACCTTTGGTCAGAGACATGTAGGCCTTCTCATGGTCGTTTTGGATGCTCTGGTTTGACATGATGTAGTTTAGTAATATCTGAAAGATTTTTGAAGAAAATGAACTGCAGGATTTCTATAAGTGTTTTCGGTTAAAGATTTCAACAAACTTCAATTTGACAGCTGCTCTTCAGTTGATGAGTATCAGGCTGTCAGACCTATACAAGCAAAACAGATTAAAATGTAATCCATATAATAGGAACTTGTAACAATTAAGTTAAAACATGTAACACAATAAGAATACATTTTGAAATATGAGTTTGCTGTTTCATTTCACAATCTGCATACCTGAGAGCTGAAGTTGGAGCCCCTCTGCACTGAACAGGTGCTTCACAAATGGTCAAATATCAGCAGAGAAGCAAAATGTAAATGACAGCTGAGCAGGGAGTGACTGTTCATACCGTAGGTAAATGTTTCAAGGGGAGGAACATCAGATAGGAAACACAGAAGATGGAAAATAACAGCTGTGTGCACCAATTTCCCTGTTCAAGCACACTGATCAAAATATCCAGAGAAACCTGCTTAGCATGTTGGTTATAGCATACATTTAAGGCTGATAACAACACAGCAATGTTTGGCTTGTAAAAGAAAGAAGAGAAACCTGAACCATTTTGAGGAATTGTTAGTAGAGATCCAATCTAATATGCACATTATTGTTATTTAAGAAAAAAAAAAAAAGAGGCCTAAAGCAATTTAATGAATACCATCACGATTGTGCTGTCTATAAATCTCTAAATTGATATAATCTATAATACTTTTTTCTAATAGTAGATTGATTCAGAAAGCAATACTTTATATATATATATATATATATATATTCATGACTATCATTAAATCAATGAATTAACACATGTGGAATTATATACTTAACAGAAAAGTGTGAAACAACTGAAAATATGTCTTTTTTTTCTAGGTTCTTCAAAGTAGCCACCTTTTGTTTAATTACTGCTTCACCCACTCCTCTTGGCATCCTCTTGATGAGCTTTAGGAGGTGGTCACCTCAAGGTAAAAGCTGAAGCATCAACTTAACCTCTTTACTCAAGTAAAAGTGAAAAAGCTTGTGTTCCAAAAACTACTTAAAGTATAAAGTAACCTTTAAAAAGAAAACAGCCAGATATGCCACAATATGAATTAATTGAATTGAAAGCTCAATTTTTCGACTATTCCAAAAGGTTTTTTGAGATAGGGCCAAGGATGAGAGAGTCTTGTTGGTCTCCATCTCTCGATACGCTCTCGCCTGTGTCCGACCTTTCAGACACTTCGACATATTTTTCTGAATCCGACATTGTAGCATGGCATAGACAATTGGCGTTTGCAGTTTGAAGAACACCTGCTTGCTTCTGATGATTTCCTTTAGCTAACCAATGAGTGTTTGCATTATATGACTCATCCAATTAGACTAGTTTTCACTAGATGTGGATGGAGCCAATCATCTGCATTGCATTGGATGGAGCATATGACGTGAAATAAATATTTATAAACATTAAACCGAAGCCAAGAGTAACGAGTAATGTTTGTTTTAACAATTTAAGGAATAGAAAGTAGAGATACTTGTGTGAAAATGTAATAAGTAGAAGTCAGAAATAGGAAGAAAAAAAGTTATGGAATGAAGTATAGATATTTAAAAAGTGTACTTAAGTACAGTAACGAAGTATTTGTACTCTGTTGCTTGGCACCTCTGTATATATATATATATATATATATGTTTTCAAATTGCTGATGTAAGAGGTGTATTCAAATAACGATTGGTTGATGATTATTTTAATCATAATTAATTACTTCAGCCCCAATGTAATTAGAGTGAAAAAACACTGCTCAGTTCATTTAATGACTATATTTAATTAATAAAAAATATGAATTAAGACTGCCTTTACTATATACTGTATATGTATTAATGGATTTCCAGGGCTTTAATCTTAGTGAACGTCTTCAAACATGTCCGGTTGTTTTGCTCATTCAGTTCTGCTCCAGATGGATCTGTGACGCTTGACTTGATTTTAAATTGGTTCCACCGCTGACTTAGTGGACTTAAAATTCAGAAACTTTAATAAAGCACCCAAACAGTTTTAGCTATGACCATGACTCAAATATACATGTTTTAAGAGACTTGACGACGCCATAGAGGGATAGTTGGCAGTAAATCAGTAAAATCGCATTATCAGTTATTGCGGAACAGCTAAAGGTAACACTTTGTTTCTACACGAGCCTATTTCAGATGAGGGGCGCGAGTTCAACACAACCAGAGAAATACCATTTATTCCATAAACTGTTAACAAACCAAAAACAAGAAAAGGTTTTTCTTTATTTATTTTGTTCACATCTTTGAATAGATCACACTTATTTAACCTGACTTGGCGTTAAAAAAAAAAAAAACGTATTTTTTTCCAAAGTAGTTGGGAAAGTAGCTACCAGCGGGTGGTAAAATGTCGTGCTCGTTGGTTGGACCCTCTGGGATCCGTATTCCACTGCTGGACGGACGGGCAGTGATTCTGGGCCGCGGTCCGGACACCGGAGTCACCGACAAGAAATGCTCCAGGCACCAGGGTGAGGCAATAACTGCACTGCTAAACCTTGCAGTTATTGCAAAAAGCACAATTTTTTCCCCATATTATCATGTGTCCTGATCATTTAGCTCATTTTCTAAGTTTAATTTAATAGTTTACACTTAGAAAATGTGTAAAGCTTATTATTGTCTTTAAAAAAGCGACTTTGTTTCAGTATATACTGCATGAAAGCGAGTTTTATGGGTTATTTCTTTGTTGTTTTTTCATACTCATTATGAAAGTTGGACAGGCCATGAACTCCATGGATAAGAAATTTATTTTATTTAATTTGGGTTAAATAAAATAAATTTCTTCATATTGCATTTTCTTTAGTGAAATGCAGCCATGATAATATTCACAGCTATAAATCACCTTGTTTATCTAAACAATGCCTCTAAACTCTGTGATCTCCTCCCCAAGTTCTACATCAGATTTATGCATAAAGGACAATAAAAGTCCATCCTAGTGGCCAAGTATAGAACAAAGCAGAACTTTAACATATTAATTCAATTCAGTATATATATATGTATGTATATATGTATATATATATATATATATATATTTATATATATATATATATATATATATATATAAACTAATCATGGTTGTAGCGACAGTGGAGAGGAAAAACTCCCTTTTAACAGGAAGAAACCTCCAGCAGAACCATGCTGAGCATGAGCGGCCGTCTGTCGAGGCCGACTGGTGTTATAGGTCATAGGTATACTGGGGGCTGGTGTCACAGGTTAACATATGGCATCTTAAAATATTTCAGCCAACAAATGCTGCATCCTAACAGTCATGTTTTTTTCCATTGCACGTATGTCACTCATGTAAATACATGCAAGATTTCTGCTTGCTTTTCGCCATTTCATTTGTAAATGTGACATCACATCTTCATCTTTGAGAATAGAAGTTAAAAAGTTATACCTTTGTGACAATACAAGTACAAATCATAAATCCACAAGTTCACCAATATGATTCACAGGTTTACGAGTACGAACCACAAATCTACAGGTACAAATTTATGACTAGTATTTGTAAACCTGTGACTTGTTTTGTCATAAAGTCGTAACTTTTCAACTTGAATTCCTAATTTCTAAGGAAATTATCTGATGTCACACATATCTATGAGCTGATGACAAGAAAAAAAATCAAAAAATCTTGCATTTATTTTTACATAACTGAACTTCAGACATCATGTATATGTCATTATTGACAGTTGCCTCACTCTATTGAAAGTTTTGCAGTTTTCTTGGTGTATTGAGTCAATTGGATCTTTGAAGCAGTTTGGGAATTTATACAGATTTTCTAAATCCAAATTATAAACACATCAACTGTCAACATCAACTATTTTGAGTTTAGGTATCAACAATCAAAGATAATGTTCAGAAAATTATACCTGGAATGTGTAGAATTTTAGAACTGAAGATTTGTGGTAACTATGGTTGAAATACTGACAAATCAGTAGGAAAATGAGAAAATCAGTATCTGAGCCTGGAAATATTTCATTCTCCTGGGTTCAGTAAACAGCTTCTAACTGATATAAGCTCTATAAACAAACTGAGCTAAAAGTAAATAATGTCAGCAGAGCTCTTAAATAACATTTCTACCTAAATATTTACTAGAATAGCTGCCATATTGCAGAAACTTCGTTTTTCTATAATTTCTAATAAAGCTTGATTAAAATAATGCCAACATCCATTTTAACATCTCCTGTGTTTGTTTCAGTGAAGGTGGTGGCTTGTTATGCGGAGCAGGATGTGGTTATTACTCAGGTATGGAAACAAATCAGCCCAGACATGTGTTAGGTGTGATTAAGGTGACTCCTCTCCCAGGTTATGCAACATAACCTTTAAACAGGCTTGTGTTTTTATTTCATGCTAAAAGCTGAGTTCAGCACATTTTTTCTTTCATCCAACCTACTTATCTTGCAGCCATTTAGTTGTCTGTTCACATCAACATCCACGTGTGTCGTGTTTTCTTTCAGCTCGGGCCCAATCCCAGTTTCCTGAACAATGAGAAGCTGGGTCGAGGTCAGTCGGGTAAACTCAGCCATGAAGGCATCCTGTACCTGGTTAACCAGAGCCACCCGTTCACCCTGAACTTCTCTCTGAGCACCAATGGAACATCCTGCAGCACGGCGGAGAGGAGCCTAAAGGCCACAGATAAGACTAAAGGAGGGAGAACTGGGAAAGGGAAAGAGGCTGAACTGAGTCCGATACCCAAACGCAGCATCAAGGATTTCTTTCCAGCTTCACCCTCTAAGGTAGAACGTCATAATCCCATGTTTGCTAAGCATACACTACTGTTCAAAAGTTTGGGGTCACATTGAAATGTCCTTATTTTTGAAGGAAAAGCACTGTACTTTTCAATGAAGATAACTTTAAACTACTCTTAACTTTAAAGAAATGGTAAATGGTAAATGGCATGTACTTATATAGCGCCTTTATTCAA